CCCCCCCCCGGGCACCAGCTCGGCCGGTCCCCCCCGCTTTCCCCCGCGGCGGCGGCTCCTCAGACGTACGGCAGGACCCCGTAGGTCAGCAGCGCCATCACGCCGGCGCTGAACAAGCCGGCCACCGGCACAGTCACGAACCACGCCAGGAAGATGTTGCGGAAAAGGCGCCAGTCGACGGCTTTCTTGGAGCGGATCCAGCCGACGGCCACCACGGAGCCCACCTTGGGAGCGCGGGGAAGAGAGAGGGAGACAAGACGTGAGGGGTAGGGCCGAGTGCCCGTAACGTGCCCAGGGGCACACCAATGCCAGTCAGCTGATACCAAGCCACGCTCCGCGACAAAGGAGCCCCTGGCAACGGTGACGGCTCTGTTCTGGTGGGGTGGCAGGAGGGTGACACTTCCAGGGTGCTTTAAGCTTTATGATCTCCTGGTTTTTTCATGGATTTTGGGGTCAGCCAAAGGAGAATAAATAGGCTTGTGGGTTTTTCTCAAGCCCCGGGACCACCCCCGAGCCCCACCGAGGCAGCCCGCCCCCTGCCCAGCGCCTGGCTCTGTCTGGAGGGGAGGGGGCAGGAATCCACTGAGTCGGGCCAGACTAAACCATGAAAACACCGGGAAAGCTGTTTTTAAGGCTCTGCTGGAGAGTGTGGCATGGGGCAGGTTGGGATAGCTAGTGTGGTTCCCATCCCACCTGCCTGTTCTCCTGCTGCTTTGGGATGTCATAGGATGCCAGAGCGGTACTGGAGTTTTATTTCTTTTTAATGGGGATTTAATAATTGTTAGAGAGGAGAACTGACACTGGGGTCATGGAATCAGAGTGGTTTGGGTTGGAAGGGACCTTAAAGCCCACCCAGTCCCACCCCCTGCCATGGGCAGGGACACCTTCCACTAGACCAGGTTGCTCCAAGCCTCATCCAGCCTGGCCTTGGACACTCCCAGGGATGGGGCATCCACAGCTTCTCTGGGCAACCTGTCCCAGTGCCTCCCCCCCCTCTCCGGGAAGAATTCCTTCCTCTGACCGACCCAGCAGCTGCTGATCCTCTGCCGCTTACAGCCTGGCATACGGCGCTGACTCCAAACAGCACCAGAGTGTGCCAACACCGCGGGCTGTAACCAGGAGAGCAGGGGCAAAGCAAGCAGCTGAGCCCACCCCGGCACAGCGATGCTCACTTAGCGGGGGACAGCGCAAGGTCAGACCCCGCACAGCTCCCTCCACCAAACTCCTCGGACCGAGCCCTCCGAGGAAAACCAACCCTTCTGGACCAGCCAGCCAAGCAGAGCACCCAGGGAGGGAATCGGAGACGTCAGCCGGATGCTGCGGGGCATGCAAACTGCACGGACATCAGGAGCGACCCCAGGCCTCCGGGGGGAACGGGCAGACCCCCAGAATATCCTTCAAAGGCACCACTACCAGGGCAGCTGGGGTTGCTGGGTTTGAAGAGAAGACACTGCGGCACGGGCAAAGCTACAATCTTTTCTTCCCTCAAGTGTCTTTTCAGGTCATAAGCTCAGGTAGAAGCCCAGTAGGTTATTTTTTTAGGAAAGAACTGGACCGAGAGAAACATTCCCAGTGAAAAATGATGCCAAATCTCCAGGAAAGTTGAACTTCCTTCTGCCCTGGCAGTGGCCCTACGTGCCGTTAACAGACACGTGTCAATCAGTGCCAAGCACATGGTAAAGCAGCAAGAAACGTGGAAGGAATATCCTGTTTTCAAGGAAAGGAAACGCCGAGACGCAGCTGGGCTCGTGCTTCCCTGAAATGCCATCCCTGCCTCCTCTTCCCGGCGTGTTTTCTTAATGGGAGTATCAGTCTCTGCCTATGGATCAGAAGACGGGCTGTTCCCTGTGTGTGGAGCCAGGGAAATGATAAATGCTGGGAGGAGGGGGAAGCAGGGAGAGATAGGCTGGGGATATGGAATCCGCATCTCTTGTTAGCACCTATTTAACGGCCAACTACTGCTTAAGGTGTCTTTTTGGGGAGTTATTTGTGGAAGACCCTGTAACTGGAGGGAATTAAGCCTCTCAAAAAGCGCCTGTAAGGAACAAGGGAAAACTAAATTTGATGTTCCAGGACTGGAAAGGCCTCGGTGTGAAGCTTGGTCCCCTAAGGAAGTCTGTTAGATAGTAACAGGAGCACCCCTGGGGGGGTCACTGTGCTATTCCCTGTTAGGGAGGTGTAAGGGTATGAATTTAGGAGGTGCCCAGCGCGGAGGAACCCCAGGCTCCTGCCTACACCAAGGTGTTAACCCGAGGAAACGGTGCCTGGGGTCTCAGCAGCTCAGCACGTCCTTGGCATCCGTCTGCCTCGCCTGCGAGGAGAAGCGTTGCTCACGGAGCCAGCCCGCGGGCTGCGCACGACGACCTGAGCGAGGCCTTCCTGACATCTCGGGGAACCACAGCGTGGTTTGGCTTGGAAGCGACCTTCAAGATCATCTCGTTCCAACCCAAAAGGTATCAGCGATGATGGCATTGGTAATCTCGTTTAAACGTTATTAAGGTTTAGTTTATTAATAGTGATTTTGATGGACTAGAGGTTAGGAGAGTGGCTAAAACTTGGGTGTAGGGACACTACACCGCCTGCGGAATTCCGGATGAGATCTACTTTGCGATTGGTTGGACACCAGTGCAGTTTGCCTTCAGTATGCTCTGCTTAAAGCAGAAATGCTTTTGGCTCTCTTGCTCCTGTGCAACGGGGCACCGCTGTAACACGCAGAACACGACAATTCCATCGTGGCAACACGCAGAGGATTTTTCAAAACCCCAAAATCGTAATAGCGAACCCGTCGCTGACAGCATGACCGCAGCAAAGTCGCTTTTCCACAGAGAAAGCATTTACCTCCTGCACTCTGATTTTCATAGGATCCCAGAGCGGTTTGGGTTGGAAGGGTCCTAAAAGCCCACCCAGTCCCACCTCCTGCCATGGGCAGGGACACCTTCCACTAGACCAGGTTGCTCCAAGCCTCATCCAGCCTGGCCTTGGACACTTCCAGGGATAGGGCATCCACAGCTTCTCTGGGCAACCTGTCCCAGTGCCTCCCCACCCCCTGCGGGAAGAACTTCTTCCTGATGTCCAATCTAAACCTCCCCACTTTCAATTTAAACCCGTTACCCCTTGTCCTGTCACTACAGGCCCTTGTAAAAAGTCCCCCCCAGCTTCCTTGTAGCCCCTTCAGGCACTGGAAGGTGCCATAAGGTCTTGTTACAGCTGAGAAATGGCTGTTTATTTCCACATCTCAGATCTTAGAATAAACAACGGGCACCGTGTGTAGGACCCAGTATGCTCATTTGCCCACCTGGGCAGCAGGAAGGCCAGGTATGTGCTCACACCAGCTTTTCAGTGCTACATCCCGCGGGAGGCTGAGCGGCTGCAGGCAGAGCAAGGCAGCTCCCGGTTCAGACTCACAAATCCCTTTGGAGGCTCAAAGTTGAGGTCTTTCCCTCTGGCCCTCTTGACTTGGAGGCTTTCAGAGGGAATTTCCTCTCCCCCCTGACTCGTGGCAAGGACAAAGGTGCAGTTCAGCCTCCCGGCACGCACCGAGCGTGGGCTGCAGGTTTAGGACAGGTCTTTCGGGCAGTGGCTGGTTCACGCAGACCGAAGCCTCTGATTTAGGACTGAATGCAACTCCTGATCAGAGAGGGCTTGACGAATTTTCCCCAGAAGCTAATGCTTTTCTTCCTTTTACCGACCTCCAGTTTGCCACCACATCTGCTCCAAGACCCGAAAACTGCTCCCCAGAGCTTCCCTGCAACCCTGCTCTCCACTGTTCAATAGCCTGCTGTCTCCCCTCGGAAAGGTCTCCTCCAGCCAACGCGTTTTCGGAACGCTGCTCCCCCCTCGCCGTCGGTTTAGCCAGCCGCTGCACCTTCAGGCAGCCGACACCCCCTCAGCAAGGCTCCCTCTTCAGCAAATGCTGATTTGCTGCGGAGCAAATGCCGGGGAACAGAACAATTCCCGCTCCCTGATGCTGGAGGCTCAGGACGAGGCTCACCCTGAACTCCTTTTCTTTTGGGTTTCTAGGGTGGAATAATTTTTCTGCTGATTTTTAGGAAGGTATTTTTGCCTCGGTGGCTGGCACCACCTTCAGAGAGGCCTTTTCCCATGGAGTATTTTATTCCTTATTCTTTATTCCCAAGGATATTTTATTCCTTCACTGGGCCCTCGAGGAAAACAAGGAATACATCTGTTCCAAGAGCTTGCGTTCTGTCCTGTTGATCCCTTAGGATCTCTCAGCTCAGGATCCCATTTTGCTGAAACACAGGGTCATTGGTAATAACCTGACATCCTGGAACAGCCTAATCCTATTGCGAAGTGGATCTTCCCATTAGGAATGACCCATCTAACAAGACACGGCAAACGACGGGGAGACTGACCACGCTGACTGCCTTTATGGAAGTTATTTTATAAGAACTGTTTTGCTCTGCCCTTAGAAAAGAGCAAGCCTTTAACGGCCTCGAGTCAACCAACACCTCCTAACACCGCCCTCTTATTAGCTTATGGTTTCCAAGCCATTTTCTTTTTAAATTCAGTCTATTTATCTGCCCCAAAGCAGTATTTTCTCTTGCACGACGGTTGGCTCATGCGCTTCGGGCACGCAACTGGGATAATCAAAGCTGTATTATTCCCCCTGGCAAATTCTTCATCACGCATTTGACACACCACCAGTGTTAAAGTTTCAGGCTAGCATTTTTAGGAGTGGATCACGTTGTTATTGTTTTTCCCCTCCCTGCTTGACTCAGAGGAACCAGAGTTCAGCCAACGCCAGGAAATCCAAACAGCCTTTCAGAGCAGCTCAGTCTTGGCTGCTTCTCAAAGAGCTCCACAGCAGAAGAAAGAAATGATTTTGCAATAGAGGAAGGCTTCCTGAAGAAATGGTTTTCGCTAGAAAAAGGCTGATTGAACCAACTCGGGGCGTTTTTGCAGGATGTGTGGATTTCATTGACTCTTTCACTGGAAACCAGGTCAATGTCACAGGCAAGGATGGCCAGCTTCTCGCCAGCCCGCCTGCCGTGCTGTGGAGCAGTGAGCCCTGAAAACCTGCCTGCCCCAGCCCCAGCTGGAAAGGCTCCAGGGTCCCCGGGGGGCAGCAGTGAATCCTACAGGATCCCGCTCTCGTAGAGCTTGGTGGTATGTCCCAGAGCAGAGGGGCTTTGCCGCTCTGGGGTCTCTGATTTCAGAGGGGCTTCCCCACACCCTGCCAGAGGGTGAGGGATACAGGCAGCTCTGCGTGTCCAAGAACTTGGGAGGCAAGGGGGAAGAAAGATGGGATATCTGACTCAAGGATTTCCTGGGGAATAAAATTCCGAATTCCCCGTACGTAAATGTCCGCACGCTCCCTGTTGCCCACAAGCAATGTAAGTTCTTCTCACACAGCTCATTATACCATACAATTAAACTCTGCTCATTACCCAGCTTGTAGCTATGCTCCAAACCGGTCTGTTTTTTTAAACAAAAGGCAACAACCTTGTTCAAAGAACTAATTCCAAGGGCCGGATTCCATATCGTAATGCACAAAAGTGAGGACACGTTGGTTTAAAAGGAGAGAGACATTAAAATATTAGCTTGATGACGTAGGAGTGTTTTCCATACAGGGGGCTCTAAGACACACGAACTACGGGTCTACGTTGGTTTAGGTCTATATTAGTTCAGTACGATCACATCAGGGCGAAAGACGTTCCAGACTTTTGTGCAGCGACTCACAAGGCCGGCTTTGCTCAGCCCTACCGGCTTCCAAAGCGGCCGTCGTCGTCACGCGGCCATCGCTCGGCCGCCGCGGCGCATCGCATAGTGAAGGCAAACTGCAACAATGGCTCTCTCTCGTGTTTTGTTACGGTTGGTCCTAGCGATGTGATTTTACTGATGGGATCACTGCAAACTCCAATACCTTGCAATGGGTGGAGCTTATGGGAATACCCACATTTGAGGCTACAAGTACCGTTAGCGCACACATTACTTCAATGCAAAATCCACTGTGAAGAAATAAAAAACAACAACAACAAAAAGACAGATGGAAAACCTGTAGTAAAAGAGTTATATGCAGGAAACCCCATGCCATGCACTTATCAAGACAGTGAAGTAGGAGTGACGAATGGTACCGCAGCCTCTGAACAAGGGAGAAACCCTGCCCGACCAGGTTCAAATGGCACCGTCGGAGGAAACCAGGTGCTTCCTTCCAATCGTCTGCTCTCCAATCGAGCTGACGTTTTCGTACGCGCCGGTTCTCTTTACCCACGGCTACGGAGTTCGCACCGTGCCCGACTTCACTGGGACAACTCCAACGCTATTTTGGTTTGGGTTTGTGGGTTTGTTTTTGGTTTTTTTTTTTGAAAGCCTGATTGTTTTCCAATGTCGCCGGCACGACTTGCGCGCCGCCGCCTAATCGTCCTCCGGGATCGGCTGCTTTCCCCTCGCCGTGCCATTATCCGCTGGCTTGAGCGGCACAGTTTTAAGACGAATAGTCCAGGCTGCCTTGACTGCAGTCGCTGGGCAAAGGCATACCTTGCAGTGTGTAGTACTGACAGGAAGTCCAACATTGGAAGCTACCACAACTGTGAACGCCGAAGCCAACTCAATAGTGAATCCACTGCGGGAAGCATAAGAAAACACTTCACAATCACTCTTTGCATCAGCTCGGACTGATACCATGCAGCGTGCCCAAGTCTTACCCGTTTCTTCTTTCGACTGTTTTATCTCCGACTGATTTTTGACATAGGAATAAGTTAAGAGAACAAGGAAGGGCTGAATAAATGGGAACGGCACAGGCTAGTCGTCTGCAGTAACCCGGCTGCACGGCTCGTCGCGTCAGGGGTTTGCACTACTCTACGTCGCGGCGAGTCACGCCTAATTAGTCATTCGGTTATCAGCATCAGCAGAGGTCGAATATGCATTAAGGATGAAAATTACTGTAATAAATACGTATGGGTTGAATAGTCTGAAGCGCACTGGGAAAGCCACTTGCCATCTCTAGTGCGCCTTCTGCCACGTTAATTAGGTCATCAGCAGAAGACACCGTTCACGTAGACCTCTACGCCTCAAACGCCTTCCGTACTGGTTTTCAGGGTTATCTTTTTTTCCTTTCTCTCCTTTTCCTCTTTTTTTTTTTTCCCCCTTTCATTTTTCAGAAGGACGGAAAAGTCGAAGCCAGGTATCATTAGAAGCAGAGCACATCCAGCAAACCGCATTACAAACAAAATACCAGGGTCACGCGCAAAGGTCACGCAGCCCTAGTGACAACTGAGCACCTACCTTGACGGTGTGATTGGCGTGAGGTCTTTACCCATGGTCTGGATAACTCTCCTACCCCAGACCCAGAGGCCCACACAGATCCCAACACCTCCGTAAAACAGCAGCCAGACGGGAGTCGACGCTTCTTGCATGACACCGCCTTGCTCGTAGATAAGCCAGAGCGCGACGAGGGGACCGATTGCGTTGCTGGAGAAAGAGAAAAACAACACCCAAGTTATAAAAACGCGGATAGTCGCCTCATTTTCTGCGTGACTTTTTCTTCACTGTGCGTGCAGCGCTGCTCTGGCGTGACCCTACAGGCCCTTTCCTCGCCTGGAAAGGCTGCAGCAGGGAACGCTCATCGCATTGTTTTGCCAGTTGTCACTTCACCACCGATAACTACAACGAAATGCTGAAAGGAATTTCACTTTTACACATTGTTTCCTGAAATGTCAGAGCCAATAACGCCTCTTTATGCCTGTTCTGGGACAAAGCCAGTATTTTCAGCACTGCATTGAAATTATCTCAAGATTTACCAATTCAGGAGTTCTGCATCTTTAAAATTCAAATATTAAATTAGCTCCTTTTTTGTAACTCATGCACAGAATTACCATCCCAGACGAGAAGACAACACTACAGTCCAGTCTGACCACCTGTTTGGAGACAGGATCAGAATGCAGCGATTCAGTCCTCTTCAAACCCTGCAGAGCTGGTTGGACTGGGTCAGAGAGGACTCCCTGGTGCTGCAGAGCTGGCGTAAGACCTTTTTGCTACCTTGCTGCTGCTCTCTAGAAAAACACTGAAAGTCGGCAGCACTAAGTCCTCACTCCTGCTGCAGGTCACCACCCAGTACTGGTGGCTGGAGCCTCCAGGGCCTGAGATGAGACTTCTGACTCTGTTTATTCTAAAAAAGCATCCAGTTTCTAGATGTGAGAGTTAGAAGAAAATATTGAAAGACGGTATCCATTTAATTTAGAGGCTCAATTTTCTTTTTTTGGCAGGTCTTTTGCTAAACTGGGTAGCTGCTTGCCCTGCTAAGCAGCATTTATCCACAACCAAAAACCCGTAGGAAGCGAGGCAGTGCTGCACTTACATCTAAATAATCATGAGAAGAGCCGAGCAAACCTGCCCAATGTCATTCAGAAAGTCTGGAAATCGAGAGGAAGCTCCCCTCTTTGTAAACCGATAAGGAGAGCGGGTCGCAGCAGGCGCCGCAGGCAGGGCTGACAGCTATGCTCGCTCTGCGGCCAGGACCGGCTAAATTTAGTTCCTGGTCTCACTCCAAAGCACACAGATGGAGTAAGGGGCAGTTTGAACGTCAAATGTTGTGCAAACCGTAACCAACGGTTAATAATTTACTTAGATCCCATCTTTACCAGATACGAGGTGCTAGGGGTTGAGCGCTAATTGCCAAGACACGAGGGTCCGCGGCGCTGCAAAGCATCTGAGCAGCACAAGACCCTCCTTCTTTCTTCTGGTCCTTGAGAAATCGAGCTCTGAACCCGGAGAAGTAGTCCTGGGGCCCAGCAACTAGGAAGGAGTTTTCCCTTGTAAACACACACAACAACGTTCAAGCCACGAGGCCAAGGAAAATACTTAAAAATACTATTTGATATAAAAAGGAGTGAATAATTCTTATGGATTTTGAGAATGATGCACAAAATAAATTAGTGAGCCAACATGGATAATAAAACCCAATGGGTTTGAAGACACTGGGTAGTACAACGAAGAATCGAACACACTTCAAATAAAGAGTGATTTCCAGCAGTAAAAATACTTTCAGATTATGGTGCGATACTGTGCCTGGGTACGCGTTCGATTTGTTGAGCTCTTGCACGAGCAAAAGGGCGGTATGTGAAAAGTCCTTGGTGCCTAAATGCAAGAATTATTTTACCTTCGAAGAACGGATTCTTGATCAAAGCATTTCTGATATTTTAAAAGTTGACCTGCAACCTCTTGGCTGGTGTTTTCAGGTGTGGATTAAATTACTTGCACATTTAAATGCCTTACTGTGCATAGAAAAAGAAAGGTAATTCACTGTACCTTCAACTGATGGGTGCAGAAGGATGGATAAAGGCAACTAAAACACTGATCAGGTGAATAAAGGGAAAACTGACCATCCCTCCTGTATGACATGGCACAACCTCCCTGTTGAAACTAACAGGTTTATCTGGAGCAAGCCCAGTCACTGATTCCCGACTGTTCGAAGAGCTAATGGATGGGTATTTGTCAGTCCTAATGTAAATGGGAAGATAGAAAAGGCTTCAAAAACTACAGCAGCAAACTATGCTCTTTTGTGACAAAATCCAGTTTTAATTATTTGCAAATGCTACACCTCTGTGAATCAACTAAGCTTAATCCTCAAAGAAAACATTATTTTCTTATTTGTGGCAATGGAAGGCAAGGCAAAACTCTGCTGCCTTACACTCAGCCTGGGAGGATCCGAGTGGCTGATGCTGCCCAACGGATCAGAAGACACTGATGCCCACAGAGGAGACGATGCCCCGTAGGAAAAGGAAGCAGAGGGATCCATACGCTCGGAAAGGCAAAAAGGTAATTAACTGCGTTTTCATTTGTGGGTACCTGCACCTCGGGTTATCTGTACCAGAGAGACGTTCCTCCTCTCCCTGTAGATCACGTTCGACGGGACTCAGACGTTCAACTCTGAGGGACAACGGCACCTCCAGCCCGAACACCAACAGCCAGCAACCCGGCCATAGTGTGCGGGCGGTGGCTCTGCTCCACTGCAGCCCGGCTCTTCAGAGGGCTCTTTCAGCTTCCGGATTTGTTCCATAGGCCCAGTCCCAGGGGCTTGCGGTATCAACAGCTCCTCTGCCACGGGGAACAGCTCTAGAAGGAGCCATTAATCACAAGACCGCCAAAAGAGCACAATGAGCCTGTCTGACTGACAGGCGGCAAAGACCAGACTGGTACCGCATACAGCAGTTCGAGACGCTACCACGAGCGCGCGCAATCAGCCGTCCTTGGGACTAGGAAGAGTTCCTTGGAAGGAGACAACCCATCCCAACAGGAGAGTAAGAAAGAAACAACACATCCAAAAGAATAAAGGGCGTTGTTAGAGATGTCTCCTCCAGCTGAGTGACTAAGCAGATGAACCACGAGGACGCTGACAAGACTGGGATGTGGCTTTCACACTATTTCCCACCCTTTCTATCTCCTCTGACTCCAGACATGACTAGCAGGAAAGCAGACCATGCGTTTGGCTAAGATTCATTTCACAAGTCTATTCTCAGGAAGCGATTTTCTCCTACTCTCCCACACAGCTCTTTCACTCGCCCGAACTACCTCTTCGTTGCGCTGCAGCTCCAAGTCTTATTCGTGGTAGTCGAGAGGGAGAAGAAAAAAGCCTGAGGTGGTCACGCAGGGGCTCTGCCCTCCCCCCATCCACATCTGTCTGCACATCAAACTGCCATTAGGTTCCTATGTGGCTGAAGTGCTTTTGAGGACGTTACCGTATTATTCAGCCCTTGGGTTTAAAAGTGAAGAATAGCTACTCCTGTCGTGGTATTGCTTTAGTTTTGTACACCTATTGCACGTTTTTCACTGAGCACATGAGGATGGCCACCACGAGTTAATTAGAGGATGAATCTGTAACACGTGATGGCATGTATCAGGAGAAGTGTGGGCAGCAGGGCAAGGGAGGGGATTCTGCTCTGTACTCTGCTCTGGGGAGACCCCACCTGGAGTGCTGCATCCAGCTGTGGAGCACCCAACATCAGGATATAGACCAGTTGGAGCGAGTCCAGAGGAGGCCACGGAGATGCTCCGAGGGCTGGAGCCCCTCTGCCATGGGGACAGGCTGGGGGAGTTGGGGGGTTCAGCCTGGAGAAGAGAAGGCTCCGGGGAGCCCTTATTGCACCTTCCAGTGCCTGAAGGGGCTACAAGGAAGCTGGGGGGGACTTTTTACAAGGGCCTGTAGTGACAGGACAAGGGGGAACGGGTTTAAATTGAAAGTGGGGAGGTTGAGATTGGGTATCAGGAAGAAGTTCTTCCTGGAGAGGGTGGTGAGGCACTGGGACAGGTTGCCCAGAGAAGCTGTGGATGCCCCAGCCCTGGAAGTGTCCAAGGCCAGGCTGGATGAGGCTTGGAGCAACCTGGTCTAGTGGAAGGTGTCCCTGCCCATGGCAGGGGGGTGGGACTGGATGATCTTTAAGGTCCCTTCCAACCCAAACCATTCTGTGATTCTTTAAGAAGCCTAACTCCTAGCTCTGTCGTGACCTGTATTCTCCACGCTCAGAGAACCTCTGGCCATGTCTGCCAGCCCTGGTTACTCGCAGGGTGCAGGGCTTGGCAGCAGGGGCGGTGCGTAGGAGCCGTTTGCCTTCTCCGGCGGCGCGACGCAGGATGAAAACCACCTACAGAAACGCTCGTACTCGCGGACGCGTGTCACCGCGGTTGAGCGAAGTGCTGCTGAGTGTTTCTGAAGGGTCTGACCCCCATGACGATTTCGCTGGCTCTCTCGGCTAACGTGCATTGGCATGACTTCTCCTTTTCTGCTCCCTTGTGCCAGTTGAGAAACTGTCTCGCACCATTTATAACGCTGTTGTGAAAGATAGCATTTGACAGTGAATCTGAACTATAAATAGAGCTGGCTTCTCCTCTCCCCTGTGAGACAGATAGTATTACTGACAAAAAACCCTCACACTCAGCTATCATGAGACTCACTTAGAAATTAGAGTTTTCCATGCACACACACACACAGAGACAGAGATTTTTAGGTACCTTTGGGTCACAAGTCCAGCCCCTTCTCTGGAAGAACAAGGACTACAACCTATTTTTTCTTTTTTAGTAAAAATTAAGGGGTTTTTTTCAGCAATGGAAGGATGCCATCAGCTGAATGTTCTATCACCAAACCCCATCTAACCTGTCATATACTTTATGAACTAGCAACATTGCTATGTCTTATTTGGGGAGAGCAGTGAGTTGCTCAAAAGAAAATCAAATGGTACTGGAATCCTACACTCTGAATAAGGTTTGTGTCACAATCCCCGATTTACAGACCCCTCGATGGCCACGTTTTGACTCTCTGCTGCATGCAAAAGCAGGTTGTGTTTTGGCCATTTTTTTCCAGTTGAGCCTAAGAAGCTTGACACATGCATTATCGTCAATTGAATGACGTGCAAAAATAGCTGTCGGAGAGACCTGCACTAGGCTTCCAATATTACAAATATAATTACAAAATCCCT